TGGGGGACAGTCAGCTTGCCTGTGCGATCGAGAAGTCCTCGTGGCCCACACACGGGGCTGAGATGGGACAGGAAAGGAGGCGGGGGAAGTGGGAAAGATGAGGACCTCTGGCCCCGTCCAGACCTGGTTCCCGCCCACCTGTCCTGGGCTGCTGTGCCATCTCGGGGCACCCTCGGAGTGAGCGGAGTTCAGGGTCCCGGAATTCCAGGTCAGGTGTTTCCAAGGACCGGGCAGGACCTGCCACCCAGAGGGGGTCCCTTAGTGCTGGGTGAGGGAAAGCCGGACAGGCAGAGGCTCCCCAGGGGCAGCTGTCAGGGTCCATGGGGGTCTCTGATGTGTGTCTGAGTGTCTGTATCAAAAACTCACCCCCTGTGGTGGCTCCGGAGAACTAACAGCTGCTTCTCTCCACACTGAGGAGGCCTCGTCCTGCCTTGTAAATATTTGATTAGATTTTTGAAAAATGGAGCCTGTGTTTGAAAGTCAGTGCCAGAAATCCACTGCTCCTTCTCCCGTTGGCTGGCGGGGCTGGGGCTCCCGAGGCCCTGGCATCCGGGCTGCACAGCCTCCTGCAGCAGCACCATCCGCTGCCCCAGGGCCCTCGCTCAGCCTCGTGCTCGGAGCTCGCGGGAGCCTTCGGAAACCCAGCCTGGCGGTCAGAGCCGAAGCCGCCTGGAGCCAGGGACAGGGCTGTGCTGATCAGCACTGCAGACCAGGACCACAGGAGGAAGGGCCACACCGTGACTTGGGCGTGGAAATGCTTCTACTAAGTAGAAATATGTTTAAAATATCCCTTTCCTGCTCTCTCTACTCATTCCTTTGCTTTTCCTGTTTCTTTTTTTAAAAATGCTGTTGCCACCCATCAAAATGCAGTTTAAAACACATTGCCTAGGCCGGAACTTTGTCATTTATGTTTCATGGGTGGGTCTAGGAGGAGTCCATGTCAACAATGGTGATGAATGTGGTGGTGATGGTGGTGGTGGTGATGGTCGTGATGGTCGTGGTGGTGACGGTCATGTTGGTCGTGGTGGTGGCGATGGTGATGGTGGTGGTGGTGGTGATGGCAATGATGATGGTGGTGATGGCAAAGATGGAGGGATGGTGGAGGTGATGATGATGTGTGGTGACGGTGCTCATGGTGGTAGTGGTGGTGATGGTCATGATGGTGATGATGGTAATGGTGATAGTGATGGTGGTGGTTATGGCGGTGATGACCTTGGTGATGGTGATGGTCATGATGATGGTGGTGATGATGGTAATGATGATGGTATGGTGGAGGTGATGATGATGGGTGGTGGTGATACTGGTGATGATGGCGATGGTGATGACTGTGGTGTTGATGGTGGTGATGACAATGGGGGTGATGATGATGGTGATGGTTTTGGTGTTGATGGCAATTATGATGGGATGGTAGAGATGATGATGATGGTGGTGATGATGTTGATAGTAATGGCAGTGGTGATGGTGATGATTGTGGTGGTGACGGTGGTCATGGTGGTGATGATGATGGTGATGGTGGTGAAGATGATGGTGATGGAGATGGTGGTGATGGTGGTGATGGTGATGGTGGTGATAATAATGGTGGTGGTGATGGTGATGATGGTGATGGTGATGATTGTGGTGGTAATGGTGGTGATGGGTTTGGTGTTGATGGCAATTATGATGGGATGGTAGAGATGATGATGATGGTGGTGATGGTGGTGATAGTAATGGTGGTGGTGATGGTGATGATGGTGATGGTGATGATTGCAGTGGTGACCGTGGTCATGGTGGTAGTGGTGGTGATGGTGGTGATGATTGTGGTGGTGATGGTGGTGATGACAATGGTGGTGATGATGGTGGTGATGGTTTTGGTGTTGATGGCAATTATGATGGGATGGTAGAGATGGTGATGATGGTGGTGATGATGTTGATAGTAATGGCAGTGGTGATAGTGATGATTGTGGTGGTGACGGTGGTCATGGTGGTGATAGTGGTGATGATGATGGTGATGGTGGTGATAGTAATGGTGGTGGTGATGGTGATGATGGTGATGGTGATGATTGCAGTGGTGACCGTGGTCATGGTGGTAGTGGTGGTGATGGTGGTGATGATGATGGTGGTGATGGTGGTGATGGTGGTGATAATGATGGTGATGGAGATGGTGGTGATGGTGGTGATGGTGGTGATAGTAATGGCAGTGGTGATGGTGATGATTGTGGTGGTGACCGTGGTCATGGTGGTAGTGGTGGTGATGGTGGTGATGATGATGGTGGTGGTGGTGGCGGCAATGATGATGGGATGGTGGGGGGATGAGATGGTGAGGCAGCTGCAGTGTGTCGAGTGCTGACTGTGACCCAGACATTATTTTAACGTGTTACATGGATTAACTGACTTAACCCTCATTTATAGATGAGGGAATTGAGGTCTAGAGCTCCTGGGTATTCAGACGTGATTGTACAGATGTGGTTCAACCTAACTCTCCTCCCCCTTGCCCCAAATCACACAGTGGGTAAGAGGTGGACCATGGTCACCCAGGCCTCTCTGACTTAAAGTTGTGCATAAAATCATGTGTGTGCGCGTGCGTGTGTGCACGTGTGTGTGTGTGTGTGTGTGTGCTGTGGTCTTCTCTGGGGAGAGTCTGAGAAGCTGAGGAGCTTCCTGCAGGTGGACAGGGCAGGCCTGGGTGGGCGTGTCTGAGAGGCTCCTCCCCCTGGTGCTGACCCCCAGTGGCCATTCCCCAGCCCCAGCTGCCGCTCCCCTCAGCTGGTGGGCTCTGCCTGTGGATGGGGATCCCAGGGCCGGGGTACAGACAGCCTCGTGGGTCCTGGGCACCATCTTCCCCTCTCACAGGCCTGGAGTGGGACCAGGAGCCAGGATCTTTCTGACCTCACCTGTGCCCAGGGCTCCCTGCGGCCTGTCATGCCTGGTGGGGGACGAGGCGGGAGTCACAGCTACCTCCCAGAGACCAAGAGCCTAGGGGGGTAGTGTCTGGAAGGTTGGTGGCCAGTGTGTCCTATCTGTTTTACTGAGTGTCCTCCCTGGAGGGTCCTTGGGGGCTGTGGAAGGTGGGGGCTGGTTTCAGCTCTGAAGAGCTGGTGGCAGTCACGGGCCACGGGGAAGGTCCTACGGCAGCCTGCAACCAGGTGCTGCTTGGTCCAGTCCTCTCCACCCTTTATTTCACATTCCCCGACCTCCCTCCTGGGCCTCTGAGTGACCAACGTGGTCAGCCACCTTCCTCCGGAACCTCGGGCCCAGGAGATGGCACTGCAGGCCCAAATGCTGGGGAAGAGAGCACCAGGCCTGGGTCTGACCCTCTGGGTGCCTCCCGCCCCCGAACCTGTCCTCCGGCCTGGAGCCTGCTGAGGGAGGACCAAGATCTCAGTGGTGTTCCACGGAACCCCAGGTTCCCAGCAGTGTACCCAGTGGCCTCCAATAGGATAGAGCTGTTGGCGTAAGAGACTGGGTGTCAGCCACCCCACAGGATGACGCCTGAGCCATGGGAGGGATTTAGGTGGCAGCTCTGGGCACATAAGGGCCTGTGAAGGCAAGGCTGGACCCCCCTGCTGTGACTCTGCACCCCAGGGCCTGACCCCATAGCACGGCACTCCCTGGGCCTCAGGCTCCTCATGGTGACATGGGACTACGTGAACCCTGGATTCATGAGTTCCTGGGACAGGTGACCTCCCTGGCAGAGCTGGTGAGCTGAGCAAGCCTCACTGACCCACCTGGCCCACCTGCTGCCGGCTGGTGGTCCTGGGACCCCGGGGGGCAGGGGACTGTGCTGGTGTGCAGGTGGTCACCACCTGTCTGGAGCCAGAGGTCCGAGCGGCACCCGCGGGGGCTGTTCCTCCTGGAGGCTCCGAGGGACAACCTCCCCAGGCCTCCCAGCCTCCTGTGGCCGCGGCCACCTTGGCCTTCCTGGCCCGTGTCCACTACGGTCTCTCTCTCCTCCACTGTCGCTGGTGCTCCTCTGCATGTCTGTTTCCACATGGCCCTCTTTTCAGGACACCAGTCACTGGATTCAGAGCCCATTCTAGTCCAATAGGGCCTCATTTTAACTGGATTGTATATGCAGACAAATAAGGTCCTGTTCACGGTCCTCGTAGCACCACTGAGGGGACATAAGTTAGCCCACAACAGGGGTGGCGGTGATGGGGATGGTGGTGATGATGGTGGTGGTGGTGGTGGTGGTGATAGTGGTGGTAATGGTGGTAATGGTGATGGTGGTGGTGGTGATGGTGGTGGTGATGGTGGTGGTGGGGATGGTGATGGGGATGGTGGTAATGGTGGTGGTGGTGATAGTGGTGGTAATGGTGGTGGTGGTAATGGTGGTGATGGTGGTGATGGTGGTGATGGTTGGTGATGGTGGTGATGGTTGGTGATGGTAGTGATGGTTGGTGATGGTGGTAATGGTGATGGTGGTGGTGGTGATGGTGGTGGTGATGGTGGTGGTGGGGATGGTGATGGGGATGGTGGTAATGGTGGTGGTGGTGATAGTGGTGGTAATGGTGGTGGTGGTAATGGTGGTGATGGTGGTGATGGTTGGTGATGGTGGTGATGGTGGTAATGGTGGTGATGGTGATGATTGTGGTGGTGGTGGTGGTGATGGTGGTGGTGGTGGTTAGGATGAAATAGTGGCTTGATGTCTGCTGACAGTGCCCGAGTCTAGAAGGCCATTGGTTGATACAGAGGGATGTCAGTATCTGCTTTTCTCATCGTTGAAGGAAATGTCTGGGACTCCCTCCAAGAGTCTGAGCCACTGCTCAGCACTGAGCCAACTGAGATGACTTACATTGATGGGTCTAGGTCTGGGCTGGGGGATAGGTCAGGGGGACGTGAACAGCTGGGTCCATGTGGCCCCACTCTGGAGCTGGGAATGAGCTGCAGCCCCGTGGCTGTGGGCGGGGGGCGCTGAGGAAACAGGGAAGGAGCAGCCCCCGCGTGCCATCACCTCTCTTGCCCGGTGGCCGGCCCCCTTCCCTGTGACCACCCTCTCTGAACTGCCCACTCTTCTCCTCCAGGCAGCCCTGGTTTTACGGCTGGGGCTTTAACCTCCCACGAGGCCAAGCCCTGCTGGAGAAATGGAACCTCATTCCTGAAGGTGTTGACATCCTGATCACGCATGGACCGCCACTGGGTAAGATCTGCAGGCCCCACACAGGCTGGCCAGCTCCAGGTGACCCGCTGGGGCGGGGTCCTGGGGCTGTGAACCGAGTCACCTGGCCTGTCCGGAGAAGTCCTGGATGGGCTCTTCTGAGTCTCATTTGCTGGGGCATAACCCCAGGGTCCCCTCACCTCCTGAGCCTGCCGTGTGCCAAGCCTGGACCTTGCCACCCACGGGAGCCTGAGCCCCCATGTGCCTGATTCATGCTGGACACGTGGGCGCTCAGCCCCTGGCCCTCCAGACCCAAGTCCTCAGAACAGAATTACCAGGACCTGCGTGGCCCGCCCCATCCAGGCCCCTGCCCCGAAGACACCGGGACGCGGCTCCCTTACTGCCACCATCCCGTGTCCCCAGGGCTGGGGATTCCACCTCCCAATGACTCTCCTCTCCACCCCTGCCACCACCTTGTCCGGGCTGAGGCTGCCTCTCACCTGGTAACCACTTCCTGGGCCCCCGGCTGCCCATTTGGGACCCCACATCCTGTCCATCGGTGTCGCCCCGTCCACTCACCCCCAGCTCCTCCTGACCCTCCACCACCCTGGCCCTCCCTCCCTCCCTCTCCGTGCCCACCAGGCCTCACTGGCCCCCGGCCTGACCCTTGGCCCTCTCGTGTACTCCCCTCCTGTCAGTGGGGAGAGCCCTGCGGATCATGGGCTACGCTGTGCCATCCCTCCGTGACCTTCTGTGACTCCTCAGTCCTTAGAATGGAGTTCAAACTCCCAACACGCTGGTTCAGACCAGCCTCCTGCTCCCACAGTCGCCTCCGTGAACCTGCCATCACGCCCAGGCCCCGGGCAGCCTCTGTGCTGGGCTGTGCTGCGTCAGGCAGGGCTGCCAGGGCAGGCGGGGCTCCTGGGCTGCGGGTAGAGGCTCCGGAGGAGGAAGCCAGAGCTGGGTCTGGTCTGGGGAGGGAGGTGGAGTGGCGGGGAGGACAACCTGGGTGGAAGGCCACCCACAGGGTGCGGCCAGCACAGCCTGAGTGCCCACCCACACCTGCTGCCACTGCCCGCCAGCACCTGGGCGCCACCCTCCCATAGACAGTGATCCCACCTTCTAAGGAAGGAGAGGCCCAGGACTCTGGGGGAGTAGGAGCTTGAGGCTTGTGACCAGGTTCCGGTCCCCAGGGCCTCCCGACCCCAGGGCCAGTTCTTTCCACATCCAGCGTCCTCTGTCACGGGAGGCTCTCCGTCAAGGGCCTGGGACCCTCCCTCCGGCCCTTCCTCCCCTCTCCCCTCTTCCTGCCCCCTTCCTTTCTCCCTCTGGTCTCTCTTGCCCTCCTGCCCCCTCGTGACCCACCCCCACCACATGCCAGAAGCCTGTGTGCCAGGCCTCTCAGGACAAATACCCCACCCCGGTCCCAGCTGTAAATGCCAGGGGCCCGAGGAGCTGGAGACCCCTCCCGGCACACAGGGGCGGGTGAGATGGGCCCCGCCCAGGCAGGTGGGATCCCGGTGCCCAGCACAGCACTCACAATTATTGGAAGAAACAGAGGCACAGAGAGGTTAATTTGCTTGTCCAAGACCACACAGCCAGTAGGCTGCAGAGCCTGGTGGCCACCCCAGGGTCTACTTTCCGCCCATTTCCTGACTCTTCTCCGCCTTCCCATCCTCCTCTTGGGTCTCTGCCTGCTTCATCTCTAAGTCAGCACCTGACTCCAGGAGGGAGCGCCCTGTCCCTGGCTGGCAGTTGCAGAAGGGGCTATTTGCCCACCCAAACAGAGGGACGAGAGGAACCCGATTGTCGCTTAGAGTCATCAATCATTCTTCGTTTGTGTAGCCATGTGAGGACAATAAGCAGCCACCATCTGGGCGGCTCCGGGAGGCTGGCAGCCAGCAGACACGGGCGCGCGGCCACGTGAGCTGCTGCGGTGGCTGAGCAAGTTCATGGTCATGGTTCTGTGGTGTTCTGCTCGGGAAGTTTCTGCAGTGGGAGCCTCACTCCCTGGCGCTGCGGAGGCCCCGCCCTGCCCTGGCCACGGCGCCCTCGGGCCCAGCCTGCTGCTCTCTGCACCGGGCAGACGCCTCCCTGAGCCACCTGAGCAGGGAGGGTCTGGGGTACTGGCCTTTGCTGAGCACGGCGCCCAGGTGCCCGCGAGGAGGCTACTGCTGGGAGGCTGGCCGTGGCCCTTCGGGGCAGCGTGTGGCAGTCCCTGTCCCTGGGCTGAAGCGGGTGGGGGGGGCCTGCTGTAGGAGGAGGAGCGGCCCCCAGGCTGGAGCCCAGGCCCGCGTCTCCCAGAGCCGTCATGGCCCAGTGTCTCCCTGCGCAGGCTTCCTGGACTGGGTCCCCAAGAAGATGCAGCGGGTGGGCTGCGTGGAGCTGCTCAACACCGTGCAGAGGCGCGTCCAGCCGCGGCTGCACGTCTTCGGCCACATCCATGAAGGTCAGTGGGCGGCGGGGGCGGGGGACCTCACCGGCCCTCAGAGGGGCTGCCTCCCTCCCCTCAGCCCGGGCACCCCACCTTCCCTGACTTCTTCAGCCTGAAGGGCAGGAGCCAGTGGCCACTGTGCTCGGGTCCACGTTTGTCCACACCTTGGCTGCCACTGGCTACCCCTGTGATGTTTACAATGGGGGGCTGAGGGCGAGCTCTCGCAGGACTCGGGGTGCCGTCCTCTGAGCCCCAAGACTAGTCTGGGAAGCCTTTGGGAGAAGGCCGGGGCTTTCCCGAGGCGGGGACATCTGGGCTATGACGTCCTCAAGGTAGTGGCCCTGTCTTGTCACTCCATCCCCAGGGCCTGGCGCATAGTCGGTGCTTGATGGATGTGGACCCGGGGACAGTCTGCCTGCCTGAGGGGCTCTGGGGCGTGGACGGCCCCGGATTCCTAACCCCTCCAGGGACATGGCATTCTGGCCCCTGTCCTGGGACTCTGGAGCCACATTCTTGGGGTTGTGGGGACGTCCACTTCACACTGTGGGGAGTGGGAGGGTGACTTGACTTCCAGTCCTGGCCACCCGTGCCTGACTCGTCCGCTGTCCTCAGCCCTCCGGCGTCCTCCTGAGTTCAGCCCCCTCCTCGGCTCCTTCTGACACCTGTCCTGCCTGGGCAAGGCTCCCGTCCCCTCCCTGCAGGAAACACGGTGGTGCTGTGTGGTGGGGTTGATGTGGCTTCCTCCAGAGGCATTTCCCAGCAGGGGACCTGCTGGACCAGGACACTTCAGGTCATTTTCCAGCTCAGAGCAAATGGGCCTCAGGCTGACCCCGAGGGTCTCTGGGGAGTTCTCAGGAGGAGGGTCCCACCACACCTGGCCTTAAGGTGCGCTTAGGTGACAGCCGCCCCAGGCAGAGTCCCAGAACCCCGGGAAGGGGGGGCTCGTGTGCAGTGGGGTGACCAGACTGCAGAGCCGCCAGACCGCGGGTTGCCTGGGACCCAAAGCACACCCCGCACAACGCGTGGGCCAAAGGGGGGTCCCAGGAACAGGCAGCCTGTCAGAGGCGGCAGGCGTCCCTGTGGCCTGGTGTCATCTGAGCTGCAGATGAGGGGGCTCTTCAGGCAGAGGTGGGGGAGAGGAGATTTGCCCAGAGGGCGGCGGTGTCGTGACACCGGGAAGGTGAGGATGGCCATGGTGGTGACGCAGTGGTGAGGGTGACACAGAGGTGGTGATGGTGAGGACCATGATGTAAAGATGGTGGTGTTGATGGTGACAGTGGAGAAGGCCATGACGATGGTGGTGAGGACGTGGTGGTGCTGGCAGGGATGGGACCGTGTGACGGTGGCCTGGTGCTGGGGGCCACGTGTGCGCACCCACTGGCCCAGCGCTGTGCCTGGATGGTGGTGCCGTCCCTTCCCGCGGCAGGCTGCGGCTGGGCAGCGCCTTCCTCTCACAGACGAGGAGCCTGCGCTCCAGGGTCTCCGGTGGCCGCTCCCTCAGGCTCCTGCACACAGCGGATGCCCTGGGGACGGGCCTGACGGGCTGTGCTCTCCCTCCAGGGTACGGTGTCATGGCGGATGGGACGACCACCTATGTGAACGCGTCCGTGTGCACTGTGAACTACCAGCCTGTGAACCCGCCCATCGTCATCGACCTCCCCACGCCCCGGAACTCCTGACTGCCCCCGCTGCCCCGCTCCAGCGCCCGCATCAGCTGCGCACGCCCGGCCGAGCTCGGGTCCCCAGCCACGCGCCCTTGTACCAGAGCAGCCCAGACCAGCCCCCTGGCCGTGGGGACCCGCCCTGCCTGGGGCTGAGGCCTGGAATAGAGGAAATCACCTTCACTGTCACCTCCGCCTCCTGCAGCTGGGGCCCAGTGCTGGCCCCCTCCCCTCTGCCCGTTCCTCCCTGTGCGCCTGGCCCAGGGACCAGCAGGGGGACCGGCAGGCTCACTCCCCATCTTGCTTGGGAAATGACTGGCTCACCCTCCCGCCCAGCTGGATGCCCTCCTCCCGGGTCTGGGAAGCCGCTGCTCTTGGAAGGTTCTGGAAGTGCTTGCACAAAGTGTCCCTGTGCCCGGGAGTCCGTGGGGCTGTGGGCCCCGGGGCGGGCCAGGCCAGAGGTCTTGTAATCTGGGCGCAGACGGCCCTTCTTCTCCTGCCGGGCTGGGCAGAGACCACTGGTGGCCAGGCTCGGGAGTGCTCAGGGACATCTCAGGAATTGGGAGCACACCTGGCGAGGCCGCGGTGGCCTTGCTTCTCCCCTTCTCTTCCTGGGGGCTTTTTTTTTTTTCTGGTGACTTGAACTACTGCAGCCCGAGTGTCCCGGGCATTTGCTCAGAGCTTGGATTTGGGGTTGGTGGGTGCCCGGAACCTGGTGGAGGGTCCCGTGGGGACCGCGCTGCTCTGCAGAACACAGCAGCAGGAGAGGCTGCCGGCCGGGCCAGGCTGCGGCTCCACCGCCCCATGGGCACACTCAGGCGCCGTCTGGCTGAAGGCAGCGTCTCACTGCTGTGCCGCAGGCGTTGTGTGCTGCGGGCCAGTCTGCAGCATCGGGTTCTGTCTGCTGGCCTGCCGCGGGGGAGCCCAGAGCGTTCAGACTCTCCTTGACCAGTTCCAGCCGCCCACTGCGGGGGGGACAGCGCCGTGGGCAGCAGGCCCTGGGCTCCACAGCGTCACTGGGCAGCTGCCTTTCTTTGATTTGGGACGGGGTGTGTGGGGATGGCCTGAGTGCTGAGGGAGGGGGACCCCGGGTCTGGGGAGGGGAGCAGGGTCCGGCAGGGGCAGGGGCTCTATTTGACATGTTGATGTTTTGTCCATCTTGGGGATTTTTTACGTTCATTTTGGTTTTAACATCACATTACAATGGTATTATTTGTCCTGATTACTGATTTTTTCCCCAGTGCTGAGGACTGGACCCAGGGGGCTCCACCCCTGAGCTACATTCCCAGTTGTTTTAGTTTTTATTTTGAGACAGGATCTAGCTGAGTTTCCCAATCTGGCCTTGAACTTGCAATCTCCTGCTGCAGCCTCCTGAGTGGCTGGGGTCACGGCCACTGCACCCAGCTTGTTTACTGGGGTTTTGCTCCCCTTTATGTTGTGGGCCTGAGGGGAGGGCCTCGCTCCCCACGCTGCTCTCAGTCTGAGAGCCAGGCCCCCACGTGCCATTTTGCAGATGTAAGCTCATTTTGTCCTCAGATGGTCCTGCAAGGTAGGTCTTGTGGCTCCCAGTTTAGAGATGAGGCAATTGAGGCCAGAGAGGCAAGGTAACTTGCCTGAAGGCACACAGCACCAAGGGGCAGAGGTAGGATCTGAACCAGGCTCTCTGGCTCCACAGCCCTCACCTCCCCACCACCCAAAGTCCTCTCCCCTTTAGAGCAGCACGTGGCCCAAGGCTCTCTTTTGTTTTTGAGGGTCCCGTTCAAACCAGCTCTGATTAATTTTCCACTGGGGGACCCTTGAACTTTGGGGAATTCTAATCTCTGAGCCCAGCCTCCCAGCGTCCTGGAAGGCTGCGGGGGAGCTGTGTTCCTGGAGCCTGGCAGCTGCACCGCGTTGGGTTGGCTGGTGGCTGTGCTCTGTGGGCCGTGGGGCTGCTGTGGCCTCAGTGGCTGCTGGTAGCCAGGGATGTTTACAAGGTCTCGCGGGTGCCTCAAATGCACGGCGCGTGCAGGGTAGAGAAAACACAAGGCCCTTTCCATGTCATTTCTACTCAGTTTCTATGCGGACCAAGGACTATAAACTTAAAAAAAAAAATGTTTTTCCTAAGGTACCTTCAGAATATGGTGTATTTTTATGTGGAAAAGAAAAGTTATGACGGCAGCTGTTACTTTAAGAGAAAATTAATTAAAAGTCCTCGCGGGATGGAGATGACGTGTGCTCCTCAATCATTTTGGCATAGCTCGATTGTGGCTGTAATTTTTTTTTGTCAAGCATGTCCGACAATAAAGTCTTTGTAAAAAGAAAGCAAAGTCCACTGGGTGCTGTTTCCTGTGTGTCCCTGGGTGGATGGAGTTTGAGGCTGGGGACCACCCATGTGTCCATGACTGCACCCCTGTCTGCACCAGCTTCCCTGGGCTGGAGGGTCTCAGGGAGGGTGCAGCAGGTCTCAGGGACATCTCAGGAATTGGGAGCACACCTGGCGAGGCCGCGGTGGCCTTGTTTCTCCCCTTCTCTTCCTGGGGGCTTTTTTGGTGACTTGAACTACTGCAGCCCAAGTGTTTACTGTCTCTCAAAGCAAGTGCCTGGAGATGGCCATAGCTCTGGATCCTCCCTGGAAGTGACTTGTGCAACTCAGCCCATAGCCAAGGGCCCAGGCACTGTCCAAGCAAAGCACTGCAGCTAAAATGACCCCAGTCTTGCAGCCTCAGTCTTGCAGTTCTTCCATTATATTTGTCTGTCCATCCATCCAACCATCCACCAGTTCAATCACTGATCTACCCATTAACTCATTCTTCCACATATCCACCCATTTTTGTCCATCCGTCATCTATCCATCATCCATCCATCTTCCACCATTTATTGTCCTTCATCCATCATCCATCATCCATCATCCATCCATCATCCATCATCCATCCATCATCCATCCATCATCCATCATCTACCCATCATCCATCATTCAAATCATCCTTCATTCATCTGTCATTCATCCACCCACCTATCCATGCATCATCCATCGTCCATCAACCCATCCATCATCCATCAATCCATCTATCATCCATCCATCATCCACCATTCATTATCCTTCATCCATCCATCCATCCATCCATCCACCAATCATCATCCACCCACCTATCCATGCATCATTCATCAGCCATCAGCTGTCCATCATCCATCAATCCATGCACCTGTCATCCACCTATCCCTCATTCACTCCGCACTTGCTGGGCCCTTCCCAGGGGCCTGGCTTGGACAGAGGCGGTGGTCTAGTGGTGTGGCCGGTGGATGTAGGAGAGACAGGTGAGAGAGGATGTGGAGACGAGGCTGTGGGTCTTGGCCATTCGTCATGGAGGGAGAGCATGGAGCAAGAGGAACAGGTTCAAGTGTGGATGTTCAATTTTCTTTGGACCTTGGGGCACAAGTGATAGGGATCCAGTGGCCAGTGACTATATGAGGAGCGTCCCTGGGGACAATGTAGTCCATAAGTGCAGCCACAGGCTAGGGACACCTCTCAGGGAGTGTGCAGAGGACTGGAGAGCAGGCAGGGACAGACAGCCTGGGCCAGCCTCCCCATGACCCTCTCTGCCCTCAAACTGCCCCTGACCAGGGCCTCACAGGGCCCATGGCAGCCCACCCTGGGCTTTGGCTCCCTATCCATAGGCCTGAGGAGATGTTCAGTGTGAGGGAGGCCCACCTGCTGCTGCTCCCGCCAAGGCAAGACTTGGGGGGGGGGCCCAGGGCAGGGGCTGGACCCTGCAAGGTCACTGACACTGACAGTGGTCACACAGCAGGTGTCGCTTCCTGTCCTGGGTCCCTGTGCCCTTGTGACCACATTCTCTCTCTCCCTCTCCCTCCCCCTCTCTCTCCCTCTCCCTCTCCCTCTCCCTCCCTCTCCCTCCCCCTCTCTCTCCCTCTCCCTCCCCCTCTCTCTCCCTCTCCCTCTCCCTCTCCCTCTCTCTCCCTCTCCCTCCCCCTCTCTCTCCCTCTCCCTCCCCCTCTCTCTCCCTCTCCCTCCCCCTCTCTCTCCCTCTCCCTCCCCCTGTCTCTACCTCCCCCTCTCCCTCTCTCTCCCTCTCCCTCCCCCTCTCTCTCCCTCTCCCTCTCCCTCCCCTCCCTCTCCCTCTCTCTCCCCCTCTCCATCTCTCTCTCCTTCTCTCTCCCCCTCCCTCTCCCTCCCTCCCCCTCTCCCTCTCTCTCCCTCTCCCTCCCCCTCTCTCTCCCTCTCCCTCTCCCTCCCCTCCCTCTCCCTCTCCCTCTCCCTCCCCCTCCCCATCTCTCTCTCCCTCTCTCTCCCTCTCTCCCTCTCTCTCCCTCCCCCTCTCCCTCTCTCTCCCTCTCCCTCTCTCTCCCTCTCCCTCCCCCTCTCTCTCCCTCTCCCTCCCCCTCTCCATCTCTCTCTCCCTCTCTCTCCCCCCTCTCCCTCTCCCTCCCTCTCCGTCTCCCTCTCTCTCCCTCTCCCTCCCCCTCTCCCTCTCTCTCTCCCTCTCTCTCCCACCCTCCCTCTCCCTCACCCTCTCTCTCCCTCTCCCTCCCCCTCTCGCTCCCCCCTCCCTCTCCCTCCCCCTCTCTCTCCCTCTCCCTCTCCCTCTCTCTCCCTCTCCCTCTCCATCTCTCTCTCCCCCCCTCCCTCTCCCTCCCCTCTCTCTCCCTCTCCCTCTCCCTCTCCCTCTCTCTCCCTCTCCCTCCTCCTCTCTCTCCCTCTCCTCCCCCTCTCTCTCCCTCTCCCTCCCCTCTCCATCTCTCTCTCCTCTCTCTCCCCCCTCTCCCTCTCCTCTCCCTCTCTCTCACTCTCCTCTCCTCTCTCTCCTCTCCCTCTCCCTCTCTCTCCCTCTCCCTCCTCCCTCTCTCTCCCTCTCCCTCTCCCTCTACATCTCTCTCTCCTCTCTCTCCCTCCTCTCCTCTCCCTCTCCTCTCCCTCTCCCTCTCCTCTCTCTCCCTCTCCCTCTCTCCTCTCTCTCCCTCTCCTCCCCTTCTCTCCCTCTCCCTCCCCTCTCCTCTCCCTCTCCCTCTCTCTCCCTCTCCTCCCCTTTCTCTCCCTCTCCCTCCCCCTCTCCCTCTCTCTCTCCTCTCTCTCCCCCCTCTCCCTCTCCCTCCCTCTCCCTCTCCCTCTCCCTCTCTCTCCCTCTCCTCCCCCTCTCCATCTCTCTCTCCCTCTCTCTCCCCCCTCTCCCTCTCCTCTCCCTCTCCCTCTCTCCTCTCTCCCTCTCCTCTCTCCTCTCTCTCCCTCTCCCTCCCCCTCTCCTCTCTCTCTCCCTCTCTCTCCTCTCCCTCTCCCTCTCTCTCCTTCTCCCTCTCTCTCCCTCTCCCTCCCCTCTCTCTCCTCTCCCTCCCCTCTCCTCTCTCTCTCCTCTCTCTCCCCTCCTCTCCTCTCCCTCCCTCTCCCTCTCCCTCTCCCTCTCCCTCTCTCTCCCTATCCTTCCCCCTCTCCATCTCTCTCTCCCTCTCTCTCCCTCTCCCTCTCTCTCCCTCTCCATCTCTCTCTCCCTCTCTCTCCCTCCCCCTCTCTCTCCCTCTCCTCTCCCCTCTCCATCTCTCTCTCCCTCTCTCTCCCCCTCTCCCTCTCCCTCCTCTCCTCTCGCTCTCCCTATCTTCCCTCTCCTCTCCTCCTCTCCTCTCTCTCTCCCTCTCTCTCCCCCTCTCTCCTCTCCCTCCCTCTCCCTCTCCCTCCTCTCCCTCTCTCTCCCTCTCCCTCCCCTCTCCTCTCTCTCTCCCTCTCTCTCCCCCCCTCCCTCTCCCTCCTCCTCTCCTCTCCCTCTCCCTTTCTCTCCCTCTCCCTCTCTCTCCTCTCTCTCCCTCCCCTCTCTCTCTCCCTCTCCTCCCCCTCTCCTCTCTCTCTCCCTCTCTCTCCTCCCTCTCTCTGCCCCCTCTCCCTCCCTCTCCCTCTCCCTATCCCTCTCTCTCCCTCTCCCTCCCCTCTCTCTCCCTCTCCCTCTCCCTCTCCTCTCTCTCCCTCTCCTCCCCCTCTCCTCTCTCTCTCCCTCTCTCTCCCTCCTCTCCCTCTCCCTCCCTCTCCTCTCCCTCTCCCTCCCCTCTCCCCTCTCCTCTCTCTCTCTCCCTCTCTCTCCCCTCCTCTCCCTCTCCCTCCTC